TACTATGCACGATACACTATACACTATATGCTATATACTATACACTATGCACTATGCACGATACACTATACACTATATGCTATATACTATATACTATGCACGATACACTATACACTATACACTATATGCTATATACTATATACTATGCACGATACACTATACACTATATGCTATATACTATACACTATGCACTATGCACGATACACTATACACTATATGCTATATACTATACACTATATGCTATATACTATATACTATATACTATACACTATACACTATGCACTATACACTATGCACTATGCACGATACACTATACACTATATGCTATATACTATATACTATGCACTATACACTATACACTATATGCTATATACTATACACTATGCACTATGCACTATGCACTATGCACGATACACTATACACTATATGCTATATACTATATACTATGCACTATGCACTATGCACTATGCACTATACACTATGCACTATGCACGATACACTATATGCTATATACTATACATTATAGACTATACACTATACATTGTACACTATACACTATATCACTGGCTAGATAATAATTGTATTTTGAAGAACGGTATACTATTGTTGGCCAAACATGAAATAATAGCAACACGTGTATTTATGTATTCAACATCTAAAGTATATGGAAATAAGCGCATTTGACTTTTTGTCAGACGAAATATACAGATCTCGGAACCTTAGAACCTTATATTAGAACGGCAAAATAAGAAGTATATATCGTACCATACAGTTTTCTTTACCACTAATCATACACAGATACACTGAACGGTGACGGTTTTATTCAACCTGGCCAATTCTCACGTCCAAGAGTTTGGATGATCATGGCAAATACCATTGAAATGACCTACACTTTGCCATAGAGACTATGCAGTTCATATCTGTACATCGTATACATACACCTATACATAACGCCTGAGCTATTAGATACACTAGAGAGCTACTATTAGAGTCAGTGATATGTCCGGGACACCACCACGCGCATGCGCATCAGATCGTACGTAGATGCGACGCATGCGATACAGACTCAATCAATCTGGGTCACGCACATAACACACGCACATAACACACGTACACGCACGCACGCACGCACGCACGCACGCACGGATGGACAACGTTAGCAGGGCAGCCGGGTATTTGTGACGTCACCAGCGCAGCGGTGACGCATTTAGTAAAGAGTTATAACTATTGATTTTTCAGTTTAAATGTGTCTCGAAGTGCGACGTGCAGTTATAGATGAGGATATGGTGACGTCACGGCGCGTGTGACGTCACGGCTCGGTAGAACGAAGAGCGGGAGCTATGAGATGTCGCGAGTAAACTAGCGAACGCTCTCGCTAACGAACTTACTCGACGCGTGGATTAAAATAAATGATCATTTATAATTGACTTCGTGGTTTTTGCGTGCGCTGATGATAGCTCGGTGATGAGTGTCGGTGTAACGGTGGATGGAGCAGCCACTAATTACTATGAACACAAACACTGTCGGTATCACGCACAATGCTAGCGGTTGTGTTATGACTATATATTAACGTGAGTCTACTAATTGGATTAGGCGGAACGTATATATAGTCACGCGACCTCTCTATAGCAACTATAGCTGCAGTGCGGCCATAGCGGCAGCATGACGGGTGACGCACAAGAAATGGATGGCGCCCCCCCCCCGCCCCCCCCAATGTTTCGCCATCAAGACACCACACACACACACACACACGACAACACACACACACACACGACCACACACCACACACACGCACACGCCACACGCCACACGCACACACACACACACACACACACACACACACGCGCGCGCCCACGCACACGCAGCACACACACACACACACACACACACACACACACACACACACACGCCGCCGCTGCGCGCGCACACGCCACACGCACTCTAGTATGCACGCCACACACACGCACACGCCCACACACACACACACACACACGACACACAGCACCACACACAGCACACACACACGCACACGTCACTCTAGCATGCGACCGCCCACACACACACACACACACACACACACACACAGCGCACACGCACTCTAGCATGCACGCACACACACACACACACACCACACACACACCACACACACACACACGCCCACACGCACGCTAGCATGCGCGCACGCACACACACACACACATACCACACCCACACACACACAACACGCACACGCACTCTAGCATGCAGCGCACGCACACACACCACAACACACACACACACACACACACACACACACACACACGCCACGCACTCTGGCATGCACGCACACGCTCGCACGCACACACACGCGCGCGATCTCGAGCACGCACGCATGCACGCACGCACACATTACATACATACCACGCACACACGCACGCACCACACACGCGCGCACACACGCCGCGCACACCGCACGAGCCTGGCTATAATATCTTGTCAGGTTTATACTAGGAAGGCGGTCCTTGCCTTACCTTGTCGGATTTTAGCTACAGTTAGAATCCCGGGAACTCCGTCGCAGCGCTTTGCTCCCGGCGAGATGACTGTAACGGTATGTACGTGTCAACTACGGCAGCAACGCCAGCCGTCCCCGCGCCTCGATCATGACTCATGCAGCCTGCCAGCGGGCTGGCCAGCCATAGATAAGACCACTCAGCATGATGGCCTGTATTCTGCGCATACCTGGCGTACAGCGTACGAGTGCACGGGTGGGGAGCGGGCGCCCTTACACGCAAGGCCTGTGATAGGGTCAGTCGGAGGTCTAAACCGTTAGCAACAAAGCCGATACCATCTACGCACTGAACGCCGATATGTGCGGCGGCGTCAAGGTACATAATAATGTGATTATTTCTTGACTCTTTTGTCGCGAGTAGCAGTTAGATACACGTCTAGAGCCGATGTATTGCTTGGTTTATACTCCTGTCGTGTTTCGCGTTCGCCAGCAGATGAGCTAGAGTCAGCAATTAATGGCTGACATGCGCGTACACCTAAATGAGCACTTACACCTATAGTTCACTACATAGATAACCATCTATGTATACAACTATTAGTAAATATATATATATTATATATTAGTATTATGTGTGGCCACTGTAGTGTGTGTGCGGTGCGTGCGTGCGTGCCGTGCGTGCGTGCGTGCTGTGCGTGCGTGTGTGTGTGCTGCGTGTTGTGCGTGTGTTTGTGTGTGCTTGTGCGTTGCTGTGCTGTGTCTGTGCCGAGGGGCGTGCGTGTAACGGTGCAGTGCTGGTGGGCTGTGCGGTTGTGTGGTCCGGGCTTGTGTGCTAGTGTGTGTAGCCGTGTGTGTGGTGCTGCGTGCGTTGCTGCTGCGTCGTGTGTGTGTATGTGTGTGGTGCGTGTGTGTCGTGGTGTGGGCTTGTGCGGTGTGTGGTGGTGTGCGGGTGTGTGTGCGGTGCGTGGCTGCGTTGGCTCCGTG